CAGCCGATCGACTTTCTGAACAGCCGCTGATCAGGACCGTGTGAGCTGTCCAGCCCCGGACGGCGCCCACGGTATGCTCACCGCTGCAGAAGTCGATGAAGATTGGGCTTGAGAGCCCTGTTGTTGGGACTAACTTTAACAACGCTTTTACTGCGGCGGCCTTCAGCTGGTTGGCCGTGAGGTGCCTGCACAAACGCGTGTGCGTGTCGCGTCCATTCGAAGATTCTAGGAGCTCGGGTTCGCTGTGAGCACTCGAGCTGCTGTGGGTAGCAGAAGCCACAACGGCGGGAGCGGGCGCCCTTCTCTTCAGTATGCGTCAGCAGGCATGATAAGTTATCTGAGTGCAAGCGTTTGCCATTTCACTGCTTTGGATTTTCTGAACGGCCAAACAATGTAGTCATCAATCACATTCGAAACAACGCCGCCGGACCCCTTCATGTGCAGATCGTTTCGAAAGCAGGTGTAACATTCCTAGACACTGGTTCCAGACAACCTCTGTGTTTTGGAAGGGAGCGGAGCCGGCTGTCTGGTCTGTTCGAGTCTCCAGCCCCGCGTCATACCAGGCGAGAGCGTGCCAAGACTCCCAGCGGCGTCGGCCATCTTGCCCGGGTTCAGACCAATCTCGTCCAGAGAGCCGTCACCACGGCTCGGACCGATCTCGTCCAGAGAGAGCATCAGCCCATCACCACGGCAGGGCACTCGCAAGGCCCCACCCGCCCTCTGTGCCCTCAGCGATCGGCGGCGCGCTATCAGAGCGGGCTGCAGCCAACCCTGCGGGAGGGAGCTTTGGCGACGCGGGGGCAGAGCGCGCGCGTCACTGGGTGGTGGCGCTACGCCGCCCGCCGGCAGGTTTCGGCCGGTTGTTTAATACGTACTTGGCGTGTAATCGTCGGGCCGGTTCTTCCAGGATTTTCTGGCTACCCCACTGAACGCACATCGTTACTCGCCTAGGCAGCGAAAATCAACATACCATGGAGATAGATGGCAGATAACTTGAACACGAACCAAATTCGGGCATTGCGCGGCTTCTTCGTGTGTACTAAAAAAATTGCGTCAACCGCGTAAAAGTATCTAATACCCGTGATACGTTTAAGCAATCCCTTTCAAGCAAACTTACCTGCGTCAAGCAAGGCGAGTGGTGTTTAGCGAGGGATCAGAGGCCCGTCTCACCAAATACGTGCGGCGGGCCCGCTGCAGGTGCGGCATGATCCATCACTGGAAAGCTCTAAATTCCGGTTGGGTACGCCCTTTGTTGTCCTTCAGGGTAATGAAGAGTGCCTCTCCGACATGCGACCCGGCCAAAACGAGCGCACTCGCACCAGCTGCCGCCACATCTCCGCCGAGCCAAAGGCAGCCGCGGAGTCTGCGGCCCAGCCGAAGACCGCCACTGATGCCTCTGTGGAGCGATCGGCGCTCATCAGCGTGTCCGGTGGCGGCTCCCCACGGGCGCTGCTCACGGGTGGCCGGCGCCGGCCGCGGCGAGCGGGACACGCTCGGCGCGCGGGGTCGGCTCTGTGCCGCCGCCGCCGCCACCGCCGCTCCGGGCCATGGCGGCGCGGTGACTCAGCGCGGCCCCGTTCGGTAATCAACCCCTCACGAACCGCCGCCGACGAGGACATGTAGCGGGCCCGGACAGATACGAAGAGGCGCAGGTCTAGCACCTTAAACATGCCGTCCACGTGCTGCCCGAAGTCTATGATGACTTGGCCCGAACTTTGCTCGCTCCAGACTATCTTCGTCCAAATTGCAAAGAAAAAGTCATCTACATTGAACCACCGTGTCACCGAGCGCAAGCCTGGTCGCCAAGCGTCCTCACTTCGGATTAGATACCCGTGCACGTGTAGTCCTCGCTCTAGGTAACGAGCGATCACGAATCATCCCTCTGGATCATGTTGCCGGGAGTCGCAGGACCCTGTGGCTCGTCCTCGACCGTTGGGCACCTCAAGACTCCCTCCCTTGGGGGATGGAGGGAGCCGCATGACTCCCTCCCTCGGGGGCTGGAGTGTGCCGCAGGTCTCTGTCCCTCGGGGGCTGGAGTGTGCCGCATGACTCCGTCCCTCGGGGGCTGGAGTGTGCCGCATGACACCCTCCCTCGGGGGCTGGAGTGTGCCGCAGAACTCCGTCCCTCGGGGGCTGGAGTGTGCCGCAGGACTCCGTCCCTCGGGGGCTGGAGTGTGCCGCAGAACTCCGTCCCTCGGGGGCTGGAGTGTGCCGCAGGACTCCGTCCTCGGGGGCTGGAGTGTGCCGCAGAACTCCGTCCCTCGGGGGCTGGAGTGTGCCGCAGGTCTCCGTCCCTCGGGGGCCGCGGTGAGCCGAGGCCTGCAGCGAGTCCCGCCCCGCCGGCGGCGTCTCCCGGCGCCGGCCGCACGCGCCGGCGCCACCCGCCTGGAAGGGTGGCGCTACGCGGCGTCCTGAGGCGTCTCCACGCGTGCCGCTGGTGAATCCTGACCCATTTCGGGTCCGTTCGGCGCACGGAGGCGCATCGAGACGGAAAGTCTCGTGCAAACGAACGGAGCGACTGACGGCGGCCGGTTCCAGGGCACTCGGACGGCTCGGACGGCTGCCAAGTCACGATTTGGCGGCGCTGCTGCGCGGGCTCGGCGGCGGGCGCGCGCTTAACTCCCACAAACAACGGCAAGCGCGCTGGACTCAACGACAGCACACAGGACCACGCGCCTTGAAGCGTGTATCCTGCGAGGGTGACGTTCACCGCGGCCCGCATGCGCTTCACAGCCGAAAAAGTGCTCGGTGTTACTTGTGTTTCGTGCCAGCGGGCTCGCAGAGCAGAAACCCATTTGTGTGGGGTATGTGGCACTTACGCCATGGTTGAGGTGCTTTGAACGGTGACAGGCAAAAGCATAACTTCACGATGGTTACGGAATAAAAGAGTCGCTGTACTCACACCGCACCATCATACCACAAAATAGCAGTGACCTTTCACCACTGTACATTAATCAAGATTTGTTCAAAAACACTAATGTAGTGCCTCTCAACACTACGTGACTACGATCTTGAGCCAATGCGGCGGTAGCGGTTACATTAATCGAGGTTTGACACTTAATGCACCAACGGACAGTCCAAATTCAGCCTGTTCGCTCCTGGGCGCGAGACAACCACGTGACAGCGATAACAGCCAGCGCCAGCGGGTGGCACCAGCGATCATCGCATCGATCGTGTGCCACAAGGCAAGGCTGGCCGGCGCCTTTTATTTCCTCCTGCTCGTCCTCGAAGACCACAGGCCCATGAGCCCTTCGTGCCCCTCACTTACCGTGATGACTAGCAGCACGGTTAAAAGCCGGTGATCATACAGTTTATGACAGCTGAAATGACCCGTAATGACGTAGTGTAACACGAGGTCCACGTATGGAGCGTTCACCCTGAACCGGGCCGCAGATTCTCAGCCAGCGCTGGCTGTGCAGTGCCACTGCTGACCGCAGCTGTTTCTGTCATGTCCAGCAGCGCGAGCGGTGGCTGCAAGCCATTCAGCAGGCGAATTAAGGTCAGAGCATGCGGACGCCGAGTCGTGATACCACAGCGCTGAGACCTGGTTTCCGGAGATTGCCATTTAGCCCGACCTGTCCTGGCTGCGGCGGCAAAAGGCTCAGAAATGTCATCACTTCTCTGCCAGTTTCCATCACCAGACAAAGGAATTCGCGTAAGCCGTCTGATATTCCCCCGGCTCTAAGCCTGGGGACACCACACGGTGACAACTCCAAAGGCCGACGTCAAATGGATTAGGCCCATTTTTGCCCGGAGCCATCCGTCCGGGTGTTTCCTGCGGTAACGGTCAGTCGGCCGACAGGGCGACCTTCGGACCCCGCCGGCAGCCGGTCCGTGCCGATGGCTGCCGCGGCCGCGGCCGCACCCGCCGCCGTGGCCGCCGCGCCGACCTGTTGCCGGGCGCTGGCCGCCGATTTCGATCCGGCTCCGAGAAACGTGACGGAATTCGGTGAACCGTTGCTATCGTTTGTCAATATCAACAGCCTGCTTTATCCAAAACGAGCGCACGTCATCTTTTGTCCGTAAATAACTGAAAAGGCGGCGTGTTCGAACACGCCCAAGCCAACATCAAGGAAGATCAACTGATAAATTGCGGTAGCTGTGCATGGAATGGGTTGGTCATCCGCGCCAAAATTAATTCTCGTGCAAGTCGGCCATCTTGTTCGTGCTGTAGCGACGGTATTGGGGTCAATACTTTTGCTTTTGCGTGATCGAGGCTATGCAACTCTTTTATTTTGGTATCATCATATTAATAATTCAGAACACCTGGGTGCCTCCACCTCAGTCAGTGACGGTGACGTGTACACTTTTCACATCGTTGCCAGCACATGCTGTTTTTTGTGTTGCTGAATTCTGTGAGCCAGGGGCAGCTGCGACCCTCTTGACTTAGAAAAAGCTTTTAAATTGCACACTAAATGTATAAAATACAAACACTGAATACTGTCATTTTGGATGCCATTTTTCGTTTCCCCGGCCGTTTCAGGTAAGTGCAGAGATTATAGCAGTGCACGGTCGGGCATTGGTAGTTATCATGCGATCTTCATTCGGGAGCTCGGTAGAGTACTAAGTTATCAATGAGCCCGTCCGCCGAGCATAAGTATCCGCGCTGTCGCCTGGGTGGGCGGTCTGTTTGAGAAACACCGCTCCGACTGCTAGCAACGCCAGCCAGGAGCGCTTCAAGCGGGCGTTACAACAATGCCGGCGCTAGCCGTCCCTAACGAAGTGTCGGGTGCCGTTAGCTATGTCATATGAACACGGCTGCTGTCTCAGCTGACGCTTCCCACCGCCAAAAACTTCCCAGATGACAAGCTCTCCCACCCGGCCAGTGCTGGATCAGGTCAGCTGTCATGCACGAACAAGACGTGACAGGATAACGCTCTTACCCAAACACTCCGGGACAAGACACTGCACCCGAACACCAGCGGACATGCCAGCCTCCCTAGCCATGCGCAGTGGCGGGGGGGGGGGACGGGGAGGGGGGGGGAGGCGACCGTCCTCACCTGAGCACCGCGGGATCAGGTAGGGCGGCTGGTAGTAGGACGGCAGCGGCAGCGGCGGCGCCTTCTTCCTGTGATCTGCAACTGAGTGGGTGCCGTGTCACCGTGCGGTGCAGGTGCGGCAGGCACAGACAGCGGGCGGGCACTCGCCACCCGACCGGTGACAGCGGCTCGTGCAGCGTGATCAGTGACAGGGTGACCAGTGACAGAGTGACCAGTGACAGTCATCGGTAGCCGGGTGGTCGCCATCGTGCCCGGAGCTCAGACAGACACAGTTGTGCGGGCCGCAGCCATGGGCTGGCGTGCGGTGCGGTGCGGTGCGGTGCTGCACGTGCTGACGGGTCGGCGCCGCGGCAGGCCAGCCGCTCCAGGACCCACTGCCGGTCGTTCCCTGGCCCCGCTGCCGGCCTGACCCGCGTCTGCCCCTGCCCCAACCGACGCTGCGAGGCGGTGCTGTCCCGCAGCGGGCCCGGCCGGTAGCTGCGGGACGCTCGGGTGGGGGCACACGGCGAAGCGGTGCGGCTCTCAGCGGCGCTGCAGTGCCTGCCGCATCCGGCCAGCGGCTGCCGGCCGGCCGCGACCGGGCTGATGGCTGAGATGAACGCGGCGGCTCAAGAGCACGGATCAGTAGCCACCCGGGCGGGCTTTCCCGCTGTCGTCCCGGCCCGACACTGGGAAGCCGGCCGCAGGTGAAGCGTTGTGATCGGATCTCTGACGCGCTGCTGATAGTCGCGGACGACAGGACACGGTTCGGACAGCCGCGGGAGGGGGACGGGGACCACGCGAAGGTTTCAGCAGAAGGAACAGCCTGCATTTCCCTGATCGGTGGGACTTCCGCACCGAATGTACGGCATACCCATCAATGCATTCTACCGCTACCGAATGCAGGCGAATGCCGGATGCAGGTGACCTGCCCTTCTTCAGTTTAACAGCCCCAGCGTAGACAAACGGCTCTGAGCGCGCCTTCACAAAAACTTCCAGATATATAACCAACATGAATCACTCGCTGTGAAATATGACACAAATGCTTGTACTCGCAGTAACGGGTGGCCCCATTATCGATGATGCACAACGTTTAAGGACGGCTGTAATTGCTCGAGTGGCCATCACGTTGTCTATAAAAACCAGACTGGAACAGATAAGGCACGCAGCGTGCGGTAATGAAACCGGCGAGCGCAGCCTGTTACGAGAGAGCTGGAATGGGGAAGGACTGAGCACTCGGCCGAGACAGGCGCCGGAAGTGTGCAGTTCCATACAGCTGCGCACGCCCCGGGGTGCACCTGCTCTCATCAGCGGCCGGTACACAAGATCTAGACTCGATCGCAACTGTCGCTTGCGTGGAGTCTGGCGGCGCAGCTAACAGGAAGGTCGGCGCAACCGGCATTGGTGTACCGTAGAATGATGTAGGAACAGCACATACCTGGATATGATCTTTTGCTGAAGGATAACTTACGACGGATTGGGCGATGATCCAATCCATACATGACAAGAGTTATAGGAATGCTGGAAAGCTGGCCGGGGCTCTGGAAGGCGCTCAATGCCCACAACTTCGCAGACGTCAGAATTGCGAGATTTGGAAATGTCTGCCTTGAAACAACGTCTATCTCATCAAACTTTTGATCGTTAGGCAGTCTCGGTGGAACAGCGGCTATCACCATGCTCTCAGTTCTGTTCAGTTAAGTAAGAGGGGAACGTGGGGATCTAAAGCTTTACTTTCTACTGAAGAGGAAAACAGGACGAAGCAGCCCGGTTCTGTTGCACTATTAACGTTGGTGTATCATTATGCATCACAAGCATTTCCCCGTTATCTCTGTTTGCATTGATGCAATTATTCCAGCCGACCGACAGCTTCCTCGTTTTCCTTTACATATGGGGAAGATGGAGGTCAGACTGGGGCAAAACAGGACATAGGCAGGGCAACATAGGAGGATCGGTGATGGCGCCTCCATCTAAACTTTTAAAAGAAAAATTCCTCCTTCCCTGATAGCAAATTATTTGAAGCCCGGTATTATGGCGTTCCGTGTTGACAGCATGCTATTCACCGGCAATCATACAGGCCATAGACGACCAGGTACGTTGGCACTGTGGTCCCATAACACCGCCGCAACATAACACAGCAACGATGTACAACATACCACTTGACACATTCTCTACCACCTCATTTAAGCGGCCCTGCAGTACATGGGGCAGGGACAAATTGACCGCCAAAAGCTTTGACTTGCGACACCCGCGCCTCCTCCCTAACACACGGCAACATTATCAGAAGTGTAGTCCGTAAAACATCGCGCTAAAGACTCATGTGGGAAGGTATGTGCTTTTGAGGTGATAGCTGCCAGATCCACATGACCAGTACCACGCTCAAGAAAGCAGACTGTCGACCAAAGTTAAACTACCGGTTGCAATCTATTGTTGCTTCCCGGAAGAAGGGGTTCGCATGATGAGTGGAAGTAAACACAAACACGTTCTAGATGTCTCTAACAGTTAAACAGATACAGCGGCTTCACATTTTGCCTTGAATCCCTATTATGCCCTGCCCCCACCTCCATCAAAATTTCACGCACGTAAGCTAGACTTCGTTCCCACCCTTTTCAATTTTCGCTGTTAATTTCCTTCCAGAAGCAAAAACACGGGCACGTAGATTTTTCATGTACTCCTGATGTAGTCAGTGATAACTGGGCCATCACAATGCCTCGTTCTGAAATTTAGTAGCTTTACCCTATCGTCGTCATTACTCGTTGGCTGCTGCACATATCGATAAATGGCGTAGATATATTGGGATTTAGTGCAAGACTGCATTTTAAGTTGTCATCGCAGTCATCAGCGGTATTATATATCGAGCGAGTCCGTGTGTCATCTGAAAGTCGGTAAAAAGTATGTGAGTTCAGCGCGGCGTGTCCGCCTGTTAGGGTGAAAAATCACTGGCATTGTGAACTTTCGCATCCGGCGCCACTGCACGCCGATAAGCCCGGCGGCCACGCATACTTTGGTGTCGCGGCCGCGACGTTACCAGTTCAACCAGTTCTAACAGCCTGGAACTGTTCCGGCGCAGATGGTTCAGAGATAATGGCCACGCACGGTGGATGTGTTAGCGTCCAGGCAGTCCTCGCAGTCCGTAATCTGCAGTCGACCAGCTGTAGCGCGCGTGTGTCGCCTACATCTGACCAACTACAACAGACAAAGGCGTTCCCAACTGGCCAGAGACTCGCAGTGCCAAACTCACGCTCCAGCAGAGCACGTTGTCGCGCATAGCGAAGGGAAATCACTCCGCTGCGGCGCCTTTATATCTAACTCTCAACCACGCCCTGCTTTCGTGTTTCTCCAACGGGAAACCGCGCGACGCTTCGCCCACCCGCTTGGCTGCGCGCGGCGCCATGCATCAGCCACACGACATCAGCCACATCCAAACTTCTCGTGCGCCGCTGCCGTGCCGGGGTCCGGTCCGGCCCGCTCCGGTCCGGTCCGTCAGAGGTAGCGCTACCGCGGTGGTCCGGCTAGCCGCGGAGTAGACCGCGGCCGCCACGACGGCGGTCCTGGCTCGCCCTCAGCCGGAGACGGCCGTCTCCAGCGGCACTCCCCTCCCCCCTCCTTCACCCTCAGCCAAGCGTGCCCCCGTCGAAAGGTGCGCAACAGGGCACTGCTATTGGCGGCTACACGCTGGCGGGCACGGCGGTGAAGACGCAGAGATAAACGCGGGACAGTCGCTCGGGGTGTTGAGCTAGGATAGGAGACGTGATGGATCGCCCAGAGTAGAGACGCTGGAACGGCCGCGGCGATAACCCGCTAGGGGTGGAGACGCGGAGACGGACCCGGGCCGGATTGTCGCGTGCCGTCCGTGGGCCGTTGACGAAATCGCTTGGACGGCAGTTTTTTTCGTCAAAGGGCCACTGTGTGCTGGCTTAGGAGATTATCGTCTGTAAAAAGCCCCTTCCACCGCAACAAACAGGCGGACATGCCCCCGGGTTTACGTAACGGCGAAGCTTCTTGTCACTGGCCGGGCTGTGACGGGCTGACAAGATTCTGCCGGCCGCGGCCGAGGCGCGGATGGACGGGTGACGGAAGCGGCGGAGGTGGGCGGCAGGATCAGCCCAGGCAGGCCCGTAGGTTCAGCCGCAAAGGCGCCGGCAGGCGGGCCAGCAGGGAGGCCGGCAGAGTCAGCCGCAAAGAGGTCGGCAGAGAGGTCAGCAGGGAGGCCGGCAGGGTCAGCCGCAGGGAGGCCGGCAGGGTCAGCCGCGGAGAGGTCGGCAGGGAGGCCAGCAGGGAGGCCGGCGGGGTCAACCGCAGGGAGGCCGGCAGGGTCAGCCGCAGGGAGACCGGCAGGGTCAGCCGCGGAGATGTCGGCAGGGAGGCCAGCAGGGAGCCGGCAGGGAGGCCGGCAGGGTCAACCGCAGGGAGGCCAGCAGGGTCAGCCGCAGAGAGGTCGGCAGAGAGGTCGGCAGTGAGGCCGGCAGGGTCAACCGCAGGGAGGCCGGCAGGGTCAGCCGCAGGGAGGTCGGCTGAGAGGTCGGCAGGGAGGCCGGCAGGGTCGACCGCAGGGAGGCCGGCAGGGTCAGCCGCAGAGAGGTCGGCAGAGAGGTCAGCAGGGAGGCCGGCAGGGTCAACCGCAGGGAGGCCGGCAGGGTCAGCCGCAGGGAGACCGGCAGGGTCAGCCGCGGAGAGGTCGGCAGGGAGGCCAGCAGGGAGGCCGGCAGGGAGGCCGGCAGGGTCAACCGCAGGGAGGCCGGCAGGATCAGCCGCAGAGAGGTCGGCAGAGAGGTCGGCAGGGAGGCCGGCAGGGTCAACCGCAAGGAGGCCGGCGGGGTCAGCCGCGGATAGGTCGGCAGGGAGGCCGGCAGGGTCGGCCATAGGGTCAGCCGCAGGGAGGCCGGCGGGGTCAGCCACACAGAGACCGGCAGGGAGGCCGGCAGGGTCAGCCGCGGAGACGCCGGTAGGGAGACCGGCAGGGTCAGCCACAGGGTCAGCCGCCGGGAGGCCGGCAGGGTCAGCCGCGGAGACGCCGGTAGGGAGACCGGCAGGGTCAGCCGCGGAGACGCCGGTAGGGAGACCGGCAGGGTCAGCCACAGGGTCAGCCGCCGGGAGGCCGGCAGGGATGCTGAAGGAGCCGGCTCTGACAAAGCCGGCGGAGGCGGGTCGGTACCGTGCTGCCAACCGGTGCTCTTACAGGGTGCGGGCCAACCAAGATCATGGCATCTTTCACATTCGTCAAATCGTGTATCCTGTCCCTGCCAAGCGATGCGTAATCTCGCATCGGTGCAAAATTCCACCCATCGGTCGAGCCTGGTGTCTGCTGGCTCACGAACCCCTGGTGGCACAATCTTCAAAGTTGCCCGCTTGTCCTCCAAACGGACAAATCCCTCTCTTCACCTTTGATGAATCGTTTCGTGTGGCATGCCAAGAATCTCATTTTTCTGCCATGCAAATCAAACATGATAAAACAAGGATGCACAGCGACGGGACTTTGTCAGGGCGCCGTTGACCGCCATGACTCGTGACTCAGTAGGTGGAAAGCCGGATGCATGATTCCGGCGTCACTTTGTGACAGTCGCCGTTCTGTGCGGCGGAATTTGTGTTTGAAAGCAGAGAAACTCAGAAAGGCGCCTATCTTCTTGTCAAAGGTGGACAGCTGGTAACTGGCCGAAAGGTCAGGCGGCTTGCATGGCGTTGAATGGCATGTAGATTTGATACTTCAGCCCTAGAACCCCCCACACCCAAAAACCTGTCCCTCGGACCAGAGATTCTCTGTGAGGGTTTTTTCTCTGTGAGGGTTTTTTCCCTGTGAGGCTAAAGGTTAGGGCTGGAGATGAGAGTTCTTCTACAAGATAGTTCAGCACGTAATGTATCACATAAAAACGTCCAAGTGTAAAATTCAGCCACGCCTCACAACTACGTCCTGCAAAAAATTGTGACCCCGCCATCGACGTTGACATCAACCCGGAGTTGTAACTGTGATTTTCCGACCAGGGCCGTGCTCATCACCCAGCTGCGTGGCCACGCACGGAGCCATCCACCAACGTCGACAGCTAGGCGCCCGCAGTCGGGGCCGGACCGGACGCGCACCTGCAGGCTCATCAGACGGAGGCGGGCTCACCTGACGCCGTCGGCAGGCCGCGGCCTAGCTCTACTCACCAGCAGGCTGCACCTTGACGGGTCGGAAGTGGTAGAAGCTGGGCGAGCCCCGCGCGGGGTCGGCGTAGCTGAGGCTGAGCCGGTCCTCCCGGTCGTCGCGGTGCATGCCCTCCTTGCCCATGGCGGCCAGCTGGCGGCCCTTGGGCATGAACATGACGAGGAAGACGAGCGCGGCGTTGACGGCCAGGCCGAGGCTGACGGCGGCGTCCTGGTAGGGCGGCGCCGCCACTAGGCCGGCCACCGTCCACGTGCACCAGACGAGCACGCTGAGCGCCGCCGCCGCGCAGATGTACGCCGCCTCGCGGTAGTTGTCCTTGACGCGGCGCGAGCGCACGGCCAGGCAGGCCACCACCACCAGCAGGAAGAGCGCGTACAGCAGCGTGAGCAGGTGCGTGTGGAAGGAGGCGGCGCAGGCGCCGGCCAACACGTCGGGAGGGTGGGCGGCCAGCCACTGCGCCTCCACCACCAGCTGCGTCAGCACCACGAAGAAGAGCAGCAGCGCCTGGTAGTTGGCCGGCAGGTAAACGCCGGCGTTCAGGCTGATGAGGAAGACGCACTTGACGAGCAGGGCTGCGAACGTGAGCGTATAGGCCAGGCCCGTGCCGATACGCGACAGGGCGCAGGAGGCCGGCGACGGCTCCAGCACGTAGGTGAGCGCGCTGAGCGATGCCAGCAGCAGGCCGGCCAGCAGCACCTGGCCCAAGAACACGTGGCGCCGGCTGGGCGACGTGCGCGCCACTTTGAGCAGCACGTACGCCTCGAACGCTAACATGACGAGAACGTTCATGGCGGCGATGACGATGACAGGGATGACCCAGACCTCCCGGCGCAGCGCCAGGCCCGGCGGGGGCGGCGCGCTGCCGGCCGGCGGCGCCGCCACGCTTGGCCGGACCTGACCGGGCGCCGAGAACAGCAACGGCGGGTCAAGGGCGCCGGCCGGCATGGCCGCCGAGCATCCCAGGCGCCGCCGACAGCCGTGCCGCGCTCACACCGACAGCCGGCTTTTTGCGATGCGTCGAGCCGCGTTTTTGCCGCGGAGGAGCATGCCGGCGTCGGCGCGTGCCGTCCGGGTGATGAATGCGCCGCTCGCGGCCGCGGCGCAGCGTCGGCGCCCGGTGCCGAGAAGCTGGAACAGGAGGAGACACGCTGCAGAGGAACGCTGGCGCGGGCCGGCGCTAACGGACGCCCGGTCGCCTCCCGGTCCATCGTCACGCCATTGCTGCCGTCGAAAGCGGGCCTGCGGCGCGGTAAATCAGCCCGCGTAACCGGCCGAAAGTCACAAATAATCTGGCGGCGCGGCGCAGCGGCCGCAATGACGGCGTGTGCCGACCGCCTCGCCGCCGGCGCCGCTCGGCCGGTTATGCCCGGCCCCGGCCGGTCATGCTGGCCCGGCCGGCGGCGGCCGAGCGGAAGGCCCCGTCGTCTCGGTGACCGCCGCGCCGATCCAACGACGCGTGTGTCTGCGGCGACTGTCCGGCCCGACCCCCGGCGCCGTGATCGGCTGCAGTGGGTCCCGCCCCTGGCGTGATCCGGTGGTGGAAGCTTCGGCGTCGAAAATAGAACCAATGCGGCTTTTACGGCGCTGTCTTCAGCTCCGGCCGCCGATCATCGACACGTTTAGCACGCTTCACGTGGTACCCGTCAGTGATAGCCGGCTCGTGCCAATCGCTTGCTAGCGCCTCGGCGTTTATGGTGCTCTGCGGTTTCGAGGTGCATGCGTCGAGCCAGAATTTTGCTGAAGGAATGAAAGCAGGTCCCAATCCCACACCCGACATGTCTACGGGCGTGACTGAGCGCACGGACAGAAAGGCTGCCTTCCGTGTGTGAAGGCCGTCCGGGAGTGAGATGACGGCCAGCTGTGAATGCGGCACGGTCAGCTGCCGCTGCCGGCAGACACGACCACCGCAGCTGGGGCCGTGAGTGTGTCGCCGCGCGCCGCCTCAGCGCGCCGCGTACGTGAGATCACCCGCGCTTCCCCGAGCCAGTCCCGAGGTCCGCCCGCCGCTCATCGACCGGCGGCACTCGGCAGAGCGAAACACGGTGCGGCCCCGCCCCCTCCCCTCGCGCGGGAAGCAGCTGCAGGTCGCCACACGGTCCAGTGCACAGAACCGGCCCTCAGGCGCTGGCCCGCTTGGAAGCCGGCAACCCGGGGCAGCGCACCGCCCGCCGACGGCGCTACGGCGTGGAACGCGCGCCGTCGCACACGCCGCGCGTCACGTGGCGCATGTTCCCGAGCTCGGCGTCGCGGCACAGCTCCGCGTTACGTGCCACGTGCGCCACGCGCGCCGGCCGGCGGCGGTGCGGCGCGGACGTGCGGTGCGTGACCCGCGCCGCCTCACTTCCCCCGTCGTCCCCTTAAAGACCGGGCCGCGGTCAGCATCTCACTGCCGCCGTCGTCATTTTCAAAACCGGCCCGGGGTCAGCATCTCACTGCCGCCGTCGTCCCCTTTAACATGCGCTCGGGTGGGGTCAATTTGACCCCTGAAGGTTTTTCTCGGATGGTTTTCGAGCGGCATGGCGTAGCCGCGCCAAATTACGCATAGCTGTAAGTAATTGCATAGCATACCGTTTGGTGTATGCATTTAGATCTATTTTGTAAGGTCGCTGACCTGCGTCAGGCCAAAATCAGGCTATTGATTCAGCAAAGCCAATTTCTAGGGAATCGTTCAATCTGATGCAGCGACGGAGTGTCAGACGAAACCGTACATCCCTGAGACACTTTCTTAGGCAACATGGTAATCGAATGCTTGTTGACACGGGGCTACGAGGAGGTGGTGGGGAATGTTCGTAATCGCGTCAGATGCAGCGATTTTTCTTGACGGTATGCAAAAAGCCCCTGGAACTACCTTTGACAGCAGCAGAGGCGCAGAACGAGACGCGGACTGCACGGCAGTTCTGGTGCTCACACCACACCTCAGCACGCTGGTAACAAAGCGCCTTCACACTGCGCAGCTAGATATTTTTGAGATGGTTCTGATTAGCCACGCAGCAGACTTTTAATGTTTCTGTACGGATACAATAGTGGGCTCAGGCCTGATGATTTTGCGTGTGAAGGGAGTCCGTGATTGGTCGGGGTGTAGGAACAACCCGGCGCGCCTGGGAACGCGGGGCAAAGGGAGCCACTGAAATAAGTATGCAAGTACCCACGATAATCAAAGAGAAATTCCAAGCCATGTGAATGGCAGAGCGTTACGATCAGTCCCACAATAATGAAGGCTCTCATGACGCTGGCGGCAGGACTGCTTGAGTGACAGAGCCAGTACAGTACACTGATGTTCCTCGACTGCAACGAACATGCGCTTGACTTCGCATCAACACAGCTTTTGATGGGCAAGGAAGAGAAATTCTTGTAGACTTGATTTCCAGCGGAAGGCGTTTTACGGCGTGGGACGGGCGAGGGTCGCAACAGACGCGAGTGTTGATATCCATCTGATCCGACGTCCTGATATCTTCATGGGGGATGATATCAAGCCGTCCCGGCTTTCGAAACTCATGCAAAATGGGTTTTATTAATGCATCGCAATATCCTTCAGTGTTCAGCATGTAGTGGTCCACTGATTTATGCTTAAATTTACGCAATATGTTCCCGGAAAGTGGGCTGCCTTCGAGCTCAGCGATGCCTGGACATTTTAAAAGACTTGTTGATGAGTTAAAATGGTTTGCGTTTTCAGTTCCTGTGTTTTCACACATTGGAAACACTTGTATTCTCGAGGTGGATGCTGATTGTGGTAAACTAGACTGCGGGTCTGTGCAGGTTTCACTGCCCAGTCCCAGTCTGGCCCAGCTTGCAGTATTTGCGGCTGGGGTATAACAACCGCATCAAGCAGGTCGCCGCCTGCTGGATTGCTGGCGTCAGTACAGGCAGCACGGTGTTAAGTTTGCCTGTGCTTTGTTCCGGCGCATTCACCTACACCGCGCAGCTGGTTTTGAACCGGTGCATTCACCTACACCACGCAGTTGATTATGTACCGGTATACTCACCTACACCATGCGGCTGGTTTTGAACCGGTACATCCACCTACACCACGCAGCTGTTTTCATGTCTTTATTCCCTCTTGTTGCCGAGATCTGACATTGGTCCTTACAAGCGCCATATAACCGCTGGATCCAGGGATTGTACTCTGGCCACATGCATCAACCCATCCGTCTTCCAGTATGATTGTCCGTTTTCCCTTCGGCATGGCGTTGGTCCTGCGCTGCTCAGGTCAGTAATGTCGAGATCAGATTTCGGCCGCATTATTAAGCTCACTTGCAATCTGCAAATTTTGTTTCTCAGATGAATCAAATAGCGAGATAAAATTGTTGCGAGTGCAAAATTAAACACGAGCAAAAAACAAGTACATTTGAAAAAGCGCAACATTTCCGTTTAGTGGATGTCAAAGACAGCTCTGTTCTCAAATATTCGCATGGCCGTTGGTTTGCGTGCACGTTCGTCAGGCTAATGGGAGTAAGATAATCCCGAAAGTTTTATGAATGTCTGAATGAGAGGAAGATAATCCCGAAACAGTTTAGAATGTTGACTAGGGCCGTAAAGTGCATCGCTTTGGTTTCAATGCATGAAAAATGATGCAAAGTTTATGTCAGCATCCAAATTCTTTACCATTCGTTCCCCGAAATCAAGAGTGGCACATCTTAAATAAACAGTCTTGTTGGAGAAGACAATTGTTTGAACTCCTCTTCCCTTCTGCATCCATTTCTACTGGAAAAGTCCTAACAATATAGCAACCTATACCTATATATATATATATATATATATATATATATATATATATATATATATATATATATATATATATGAGTTAGAATAGGAAGTAAATTGTTGTTAACCATTCGTTACTAAAGCAGCTGACTTAACGTTGGTTACCTCATTAGATGTGAATTCAATGGACCATTTAAGTCGCTTCGATTAAGACCTAGGTCAAAGCCTGCGACGCACACCTTGTTATACGTGTCGTGCTTCGTATCAGATAGATGCGCCGTGTATGTAAAATGCTGTAATTTTCGAAGTCCGAAATGCGTGGGTGACAAGAAGTTATTTTTGCTAACTTTGAGTCAATTTTTTTAGTTTCAAACCGTTTGAGGTAATGCCAT